CCCAATTCCAGATGACATCAGAGCAAGATGGGAAAAGTGGAGAAGTGAAATACTTTATCTCTCAAACCTAAAGATCCCAAGATGTTATAAATCTAATGACTTTGGTAAATTGAAAAGAGCTGAGCTGCACCACTTTTCTGATGCAAGCCAACATAGCTATGGACAGTGCAGTTACCTGAGACTAATTGATGAACATGACAAGGTTTCCTGTTCCTTAGTCATGGGAAAATCTAGAGTAACCCCATCCAAGCCAATCACAATTCCAAGACTTGAAGTTACTGCTGCAGTGACATCAGTGCAAGTGTATAACTTCTTGAACAAAGAGTTACAATATGAAAACATCACCCACACATTTTGGACTGACAGTAAGGTAATGCTAGGCTACATTTTGAATGAGGCAAGACGGTTTCATATCTTTGTGGCAAATCGAGTGCAGAAAATCAAAGATTATTCAACATGTGACCAATGGAGACATATTGCCTCTAGCAACAATCCTGCAGACTTGGCATCAAGGAACTAATTCAGAGTTCTTTATGGTGGAAGGGACCAGAATTCTTATCAACAGCTGAAATACTACTGCCAACAGAGGGCTGTGCTATAGATCTTGAGGCAAATGACCCTGAAGTTAAGAAAGTGACTGTATTGACCACACAAGTTAAACCTGAATGCTTTGTAGATATACTAACCAGATTGCAGTACTTCAGTAGCTGGCATAAAGCGAAGAGAGCCATAGCAGTATGTTTGAGATTGAAGCAGAAACTACAGAACCGTAGTATAAAATTTCCAAAGAAACAATGATTTAAATTCATCGAAAGAAACTGTAAAAACAACATATGTACCCATAAATGTTGAAGAATTGCAAAATACTAAACGAGAAATCATTAAGCTGGCACAAAGAGAAGCATTTCACAAAGAGTTTGAGGTTCTTAGTTCTGTTAGTCCCAAATATGACAAAACAGATAGAGATTTCTGAAAGAAACAAACCCTGAAGACGACCAGTACACAAACTTGTTTTGTTGAACCGAGGTATCCCCGTCGAGGAGCCTGAAAATAATTAGCAGATATTCATTGATAGCTATATTAATGTTTTGTTATAATTAGAGTTGATTGTTATAGTTATTTGTTATAATTAGAGTTGTTTGGTAGGAGTAAATTATTGTAATTTAAAGGAGCCATGTAACAACTACTCGAGAACCAAGAAGAACGATC